CCTACCCTGGGATGTCCTATTAGGGTAGGGTAGGGTAAGGGTACGAAACATTTTTATTAGGTAGGACACAGGTGAGACGTGTGTCATAGACTGTAGCCTGTGAGATAAAGAACGCGTAGTACTGAGAGACATTCGCTCCTTTAGTGGTACATCACTTTGTTATCCATCAGAGAGGATCTATGCCTGTTGTTATTGGCTGCGGATGTGGAGTTTTTGAATAAAACTGTAGCTAGAAAAACGAACGTCGATCGCTGAACGGATGATCCCTACCTTATAAAAATGTTTCGTACCCTTACCCTACCCTACCCTAATAGGACATCCCAGGGTAGGGTCATCCTCCATACCTCTACTCGTAAACTATCGTTTCTCACTAGGGTGTATCCATACTGGTAAATAATTTTTCATAAAATGCGGATGAGTCATTCACTTCTGTTGTTTGCGTTCATCTCTTATATATCAGAAGCCGAGAAATCCCAGTTTTGCACGCTTTTCATTAGATTTTTTTCTTCGAACATTGCCACCAGATTCAGCGTGGTCGATTACGTATGTCTCTTGCGCTGTCAGTGTTACTCTGAAGCAACCAGAGTTGAACTGAAGTTGAGATTTTTGTTGAGAGAGTTGAAGTTGGAGTTGAAAAATTTTCAGCAGAGTTGGAGTTGGAAATTTGAATACGGAGTTGAGTTGGAGTGGGGTTGGAAGTTAGCGGAGTTGCCCAGCCCTGAACTGGATGCTAGTCCTGAAGCTCCTTGGACATCCGTGCGACGTCCGAATCACTGAAGTTCAATGCCTTCCTTGGCTCTCATTTTGAAGAGGACGCTTTGAGCTATTTACTCATGAAAAAAACAATTTATTGCTACCTTAACTTTTCCAGTCACGAATCGATTTTTCAGAGACCTCTTAGGGAAAATCGAATTTTGAGAAAGTTTGTCAGATTATTTTTGGTTTTGAGAAGGTGGTTAAAATATGGTTTAAAATCTTGGCTACCGAATGGTGGAACTTCCAAGTTTCTATCACCTTTCGTTATTGAGTTATTTAAAAAATTGTCATCGGCATTCTTTTGAAAAATGGATAATAGGCGTCAACAACGTTCGAAACTTAAAAGCCAAAACAAAACGGGCACGGGGAAGTTGAATTTTGTATGGACTTTGGCGACTAGTCCAGATCGGATTGATTCCAAGAAAAATTTTCCCTGTACGCTGCATGAAAAAATCGTCGAGATGAATTCTATGGTCTCACATAGTAAGGCTGATATTGGTCTTACAAATCGCCAGCGTTTTCGAGGTGAACCGCCTGCATCAACCATAAGAAATTGCGTACGTACAGGTGCATGTGTCCGACAAAAGACGCATATTCACACACTCATTTACGACTCCTTGTGAGCAGGCTTTCCGATTGTTCTTAGTAATGGGAGAGGTTAAAAATTTTGTTTCGCAGAAAGCCGCTGACGAAAAACAGTTTTCGAAATTTTTGGCAGAAAGTTACCGGTGCAAAAAAGTCAAACATTTTGCCAGAAAGTTCACAAATTTTTTTAGGAAAGGGCCGGCATCCCCGATCGAGAACCCTGCTTGTGAGCCTCATACAGTGAGCATTTTTTTGACAGCCGGCGAACGTCAGACTTTTTTGTTCGTAAAGTATTTTATATGATCCGATATGGAAATCGGAGCCTCCTGTTTGTTTGCGATCGAAACTGATCACAGCATCATGATTGACGTTAATGTCAATTGGGTTTATTACAAAGGGACTATTTCTTTCTCATTCTATTTGCATAGAACGATGCATGTTCACATGTCACTTAATTTGCAGCTAAACAAAGAGATATTTAAACGAAATATATACTCATCCTGAACAACTGCTTCAAGAATAAGAACTTGAACTGAAGATACTCGTATTCACTGTTGTTTTTGTGCTTGTCTTGCCAATAAAAGGATTTTGCTGTCCTGTTTCATGCCCCGTCTCGTATGGATGGTTAACAGGAGAAGTATCGCGAAGCGGAAAAAATCATGCGATAGCTCAAAAAAAGCAAAATTTCCATATGCGCTTGAGCGAGACCTTAATTTTTAAAGAATGCCTTATATAAAAGAGAAATTAGTCTTCAGAATTTTAGATCTTTCTTTGCCATTTTTGAACGTTTCCGAATATCGAGTTTGTTTGTTTTGTAAGTGTATTTTATACATATCAGCTGTGAACAACCAAATCAACAGTTTTAATTTTTTGTAATTAACGTGAGGTAAGATTATCTGTTCGACAAGATGGTATAATAGTAAGCATAATTGTGAAAATTGGTCATTGCTTTTGCTCAAGCTGTTTGATTAATCTCCTCGGCTTGGCCACGTAATTCTGCTACCACAGTGTGATTCTGACACGAGTTTTCTGTATTTTGTTTCTCTTACAGTTTTTGAATCAAAATACTTTCACAGCTCTGAAACATCTTAAACTGAAGAGAAAAGTATGCTCAATATTTTGAGATAATAAACTATTTTTGCAACATTTTCTAAACAAAAGAACGTGTAGAGTGCGGGAACATCTCAGAATAGTGTGCCACTTTTCTCTTCAGTTTAAGATGTTTCAGAGCTGTGGAACTATTTTGATTCAAAAACTGTAAGAGAAAGAAAATACAGAAAAACCGTGACGGAATCACACTGTAGCAGCAGAGTTATGTGGCCAGGCCGTTCTATCCTTTCATTCACTTTTGCAGATAATCAATGTATGTATGATACACCGATAACAACGAGTGCTTCAGAAATAAGTGCCCTCTTTGTATTTTTGGAATAACTTTTTTATTTCTGATTATGTAGAGTTAAACTTCCATTTAACAGATTTGCCATTTTATTCTGTACAAAAACTATCTCGAACGCTTTTCTATGCATCGTACAAATAAAGAAATATAGAGGAAATACTGCGAAGCTTTACTTTTGGCAGTTTTCTAACCCAAAACAGCGAAAAAAATTATTGAACACGTTCTTATGCAAAAAAGTGGATCGGTGTTTGATGTTGGCTGAGTTATAACGATTTTCCTAACTGCTCCAAAACTGCAGTTTGAAAACGATGATTTTTAACAAAGTCGATAAAAGAAAAAAAAAATCTTCTCCAACCGCTTATGAACATAAACAGTTTTAAATATAACCAGTAGATAAGCTTTTCAACAGTTATAACATGTATATCTGCTCTTTTTTAATATTCCAAAGTATGATGAACTAAAATTCGAAAAACTGCCTTCTGAGTTAGAAAACTGTCAAAATTAAAGCTTCGAAGTATTTCCTCTATATGCCTTTATTTTTACGATGCACAGAAAAACGTTCCATATCATCGATAAAAAAAAATTAAAGTTTGTTTAGAGTTAAAGAAAAGTGCTTTTTCGTATTCAGCACACTTGATAACCTGGAAAATTTTCTATTTTTAGCGAGGGGTACCGCCAAAAAGTTAAGAAAAATTTTCAAACAAAGTAACGCAGAAAAATCTCCATGGCAAAATTATACAATTTTGAAAATTTTTCTTACCTTTTTGGCGGTACCACTCGCTAAAAATAGAAAATTTTTCGAGTTATCAAGTGCGCTGAATACGAAAAAGCACTTTTCTTTAACTCTAAATGAACTTTAATTTTTTGTCGGTGATATGGAGATAATTTTTGTACAGAATAAAATGGCAAATCTATTATATGGAAGTTTAAATCTACACAGTTGGAAAAAGAAATTTATTCCAAAAGTACAAAGAAAGTACTTATTTCAGAAGCGCCCGTTATAAGCGCCGTTCTCGACGTGAAATCGAAAATATATTCCACTCGTTCAGTATTATTTCCCAATAAGTATATTATATATGCAAACAAATGAAAACTAAGTCAATGTAATTATGTGGTCTGTAGATGTCGGTTCATATTGAGCTTTTTTAACGTCAGAATAGTGTATTTATGAATATCAAACTATTATTCATGAATGGATATTAAACGTATTATTCTTTCGATGAAGAAAAGACAAAGTCGATTCAACTCAGCTGATATAGTCAAGCTGCATTAGTATGTTTCGAAATCTGCTTTGACAGAACTAACGTGACTATTCAAGTTTTGTCAGATATTGTGCTAGACGACAGTTCAATATACGTTTCTTCAGAGTTTTTTTTAGAGAAGGCCCGACCTCCACGATGTTCAACGATGAATCATGCTCTGGACTGTCCATAGATTATAGTAAAATTTTAATTAATATTTTCTAATATATATTTTTATTATGTTATGATTCTGCTGAGTAATATAGGTGACATTTGTGACGTACGTAGAAATAAAACGGGTAGGGAAAACTTTTTGCCGACAATATCGTAGTGACTAGATCTCAATTCAATTCTCAGAGTTACTAAGGGGACATCCACATATTAAGACTGATCTGAGTCCTATCACTATCGGAGATGGGCGCAATCTATTCGCCATATGAAAATATATGATTCTCACAATCACGATGAGGTCAATGTAGAAGGAAGAAGAGAGTATAATGTCTAGTAAAACTATTGGTGATGGATAAAGTACGGCTTATGATTCATACGTCAACTATTCGAAAAGAAATAGTGAATTTTAAAATGATTTACATTCAAAGTATATTGAACTCCGAAAAGTGAACGAATATTACAGGAAAATTACTAAAGCCCAGAAGAAATTTTTAATAGAATAATCTATACTCAAATATGCCTCTGTACTCTTATATATTAATTATTAGAACGTGTTTTCTCTTGGATTTACATGGCCTTATCTAATAATAAGTATCTTTTTTTAGATAATTGTATCTCCTTTTCTCCACGAACTTTACAAAAACGTGTAAACAATGACTGACCTCCATAAAGTGTTCAACATCTATCAGGAAGATCCAGCGCAACCTCAACAAACACTACCAGAAATAAAAAGAACGAATGCAAGTAAGTTTTCTATTTAGATTCTCATTGGACACAGATGGAAGTAATTCTTTTTTTTCTGTATTATTAGGCATTAATCAAGATTATAACAAAAATTTTGTTCGTATTACAATCAAAATTCCTCAGATGAAAACAAGTTTTAATCTACGAAAATTTTGTCGTGAACCAAAAAATGGGATTCTTACAGAAGCGACATATCATGCAAAGTATGTTTCTCACTGATAATAGATGAATAATAATAAAAATGGAGTGGTAAACTATTTGATTCTTCTTTTTTTCTTTCTAGTCGAATTAATTTTGAATTTATATTAAATCGTGGTAAATCAAACGAATTAAAATATCAATATTCTAATCGAGAAGCATTCCGAGGTCCAATTGAATATAACAAAAGTTATTTAAAATATCGAGACGAATACGTTGTGTGGTTTATTCATAAAACAGAGTCATGGTAATAAGTGTCGAACATTTATTATGAATGAAATATATTTATGGATTTTAAAAATCTGTCCATCGTGCCAGATATTTACAACAAATTACTTGAGAGTAATTAGAACAGATTTTTTTATCCAATACTAGTACTTTTGAATTACTTTTCTTACTGCAAATTATATAATCTAATATTTTGTATTAATACAGCTTCTATTTCTCTCTTACACTCATTCGATCCACTTTAAATTGAAATGAGGTTAAACAAAGTCATGATTTTATTGTATTTTAGTGTTTTTTCAAATTTATGTCAGAACAGACGATGATCTTTTCTTCTCAAAATGGTTTTTGATGACGTTTTCTTTCTTTAAATCTATCGTTGTTGTTTTAATAATCGTTTTTCTTTTGTGTCACTGTAAAAAGCTTCAATATATGTGTATACCTCTCGTATTATTTTAATTCTCCTAGAATTTTGTAATGTCAAAGTGTGATAAGGGACGCGATGAGATTGAAGTAGAAGATGTTTATAGAAAAAATGTAGAAATCACGACTTTTTAAACATTGCACCGGAGAATAATTAAATGACATTTGTGTAGTCTAACGTTGTACTTTTGGTTTCTTCTGCAGTGTGTAAAAATATTTTTGCACTATGTTTTGAATAATTAAATATTCACTTATTCTTATATTATATTTTATATCAACCACAACGAGAGCAGAAGATCTGATGAGTGTGTACATTTATAAATAAACAAACAAAACGAGTGCTAAATTTACGAATTAAAACAGCAAATAGAGAGCAAAAAAAATATAGAAAACATTTATGTACAAAACACCACTTTTGAAAATCTGTCTAAACACGACATTTATTGAGTTAAAATAGATTCATGGTTATTATGAGTGAGATGAATGTTCGAGCGGAAAGTAATGTACTGGAAATGAGAAGACGCTTAGATGCTTGATTTTGCTATTTAACAGCTCTACTACACAAAGTTAGAACGAATGGAAACCTATCTCAGACAAAAATTACACTTCACAGAAGTAGAATTGACCAAATAGTTAGTCCTTTTTACCTTTTGTTTTGATTGGGATTAATTACTGGTTGCATTAATTATTTCTCGATTGTAATAGGGAATAATAGGCGCTGATGGCATGGGTAACGGCCCATTTGGACGATAATCTTTTAGATTATGATTACGTACAGTATCAATACTATTAGCATTGTTATTTGTGTTCATATTTATAATACGCTGATCATCTTGTTGTTGTTTCTCATGTTCTTTATCTTGTAATTTTTTAAAGTATTGTTCAGCGCCGGGTAATTCTCTTTGGTGTAATTCTACTTTTTGACTAATACCAAAGCGTGCCTTGCATTCTCCGCGTGTTATACGATATATACCTCGTGCATCTTTACGAAAACCCTTATCACGAGGAAATATATCTTCCAAATCACCAAATTCCAAATTTAATAATTCTTGCTGATCTTTAAATACTTTCAAACGAATTTCACCAGAAAAATAACTTTTTATTTCAAATGTACCCTTGTATTCGTCTTCTTGGACAACTAATTCAGCAGTTGTTTGTGATAGACCGGGTATCTAATAAAAAAATTAGAATGAATTAGTTAACATTTTTTTAAAAAGTTTTTCACTCAATAGTGGCAGACACAAGCATTAAATCTAAAAGAATTATGAACAAAATAAGCACAAAGACTCAATTTTATCTTGTACATTGGATACTCATCAATTTATCCTTTGTAATGACTCTACCATTGATTAGAAATTAAAACTGTACTCAATTCATCATCGAATTGTTGATGAATTGTATCAAATTTTCTAATAATCATTTTCCTTTCATGAAGTATTTTTATACAATGCCCTGGAATCTTTATTGACAAGCGTTTTGAGTTATCAAGGCAAATATATGTAAATATTTTCTTAAAATTCATTAGCGCTAGTTAGTGTCAGTCAATTTCTTGAGAATGCCTAGTACATGTTTATAACTAGTTCAAATCCCATATACGAAAAAAACTAGTATTTCAGTTGATTTCTATAGTTTATAGTAACACCTTAAAACAATAGATTATTTTTCACAGTTTTATTATTGATTTTTGAATTATTTAAGAATTGGATACCATAAACATGGTATTTACATTGAAATTTTGCTTTTTAACACCGCATCTAATGTTTAAATTTAGCAATTGTTTAATTAATCCTTCTACTGGTTTCGCTTGAAATGTGCACTTCAATTATGATTCATTTAACCGGAAGGTAAAAAATCAATTAAGACATCAATATATTAGTCATCGAACTATGTTTTTGTTTGCATATAACAGAAAGAGGAAAAAAATCATGATCTATAAGGGCTTTTTTCCCGTTCTAAACCAATACAGATGTAATTACGATTCTAAAAAATATTTTTATAGATGTATACGTCGTCAAACATATTTTTTTCAGTAGGCGGTTATTTTTCATCGAGGGCAATAAAGCGTATGAAACGATAAAAATTCTTTGTATATTATTACTCATTTTATAGTAGAACGGAAGCGAATGTTTTCTGAATAACTTTCTAATGAAGGCTGCTAGAGACCTATGGTCTTCGTTAATGGAAAGAGGAAACCTGTGACCAAATTTTTACAGAGAATGCATTTAAAAATTTTTCTATAGGTCAGTTTCCAAATGGTATATGAAAAATCAGTTCGGGTCTACGAAAAATGAAACGACCATATTTTGATTTTTTTCATGTGTCGATAGTCCGATTTTTGACCATTTTTACGTAACAATAAAGATTTTGGATCTTGATCAAAATAGAGCTAAATGCAAGGGGGAAAAGGCAACTTTTTTCTTTCTTAGCATCAGAGAGCATGTCAAGCTTCAGAAAGCATTTCAAGGGCTCCGAAAAGCTCCTGGAGCCGTCTTTTCCCCATTGCCTAAAAAACATCCGCATTCGCCTTAAAATTGCTAGTAGATTTACTTATTCAAGTATCTGGCACAGATGGTACTAGTGATCGATAGGGCAATCATAAATGATAGGCGTTTCGGAACACTAACGAATATGAGTAGTATGATTAGAGAAATTCTATGAAGAGATAAAAACGCTATGTGATTACTAATAATTTAAAAAAATTAAGTGCCGCATGAAATTTACTAAACAAGAACTGGAACAACGGTTTGAGACTTATTTCTTAGACTAGACAGAGGTTTTAGACGTATTTTTACTCTTCTGTCCATTTTTACTCAGAAGACTGTTGATCGACATCAAGATTATATGATTTGATGAAGAATTTTACGGAAAATATTTGAATAAGAAATTTCTAAAAGTCATCTTTTCCGATTTTAAAATTTGCCTTTTATGTGAAGCTGTCGAAAATTTTTGACAAAACTAAGTTTCTATAGTTAATTATACATCAATTTTTTTCTTTGAATAGAGTGCATTTAAAAAGAACGTAAACAAAATTGAACAGAAATTTAATGCAGTTTTAAATTATGTTTAATTTTATAAAAACTAAACTGATTTGAAAAATTCTAAAATATTGATCATAAAATCGAAAATTAAAATTTATAAAATGGTAGTTTATAGAGCGAAAGCTTTTCTTTGAAATGCGATCCCTTTCAACTTTATACAACTCTCTTGCTCATCGGTTGAATTTGTTCATTTAAGAAAAGGATGAGAAAATGACCGAAGAAAGTGAACACGCTTAGAAAAATAAAATAGTTATCGACTACTTTCTAAGATCAAATCGATTTAGAAAATAGTCGATTTTGTGATACTGCTAGTGTCTAAGAATTGTAATCTTTCAGTTTACATCAAACGACGCGTTACTTACTTTAATATTACTTTCGACTGACCATGTTAATTCTTCTTCAACTTGTTTATCACGACTTTGTTCTAATGTATATTCTCGTCGAAATCCTGTACTTGCTTCAATTACACATTTTGGTAATGGTACTTCTAATTCGAGATTTGCCGCCTGTTCTGTGGTATATCCTTCAAATATTGAAAATGCACAAGTGGAAACTGTTCGTCGCTCTGCTCGTAAATTATATTCTTGTTCTCTTGCTGTATCATTCAAAAATGTTGAACGAAATAATATATGATTTTTTGGAGTACCGGGTGTTTCTAAATCTTGATATACGACAGGATCATGTCTGACTCTAAAAAATAAACGAATATTTTTTCCTTATTGATGATTAATTATGGATTAATATACAAACTTTAACGATCGCCAGTCGATTTCTTTCACTAGCTCTTTCCAGTTATATGTTCGTCCCCATTTAGCCTTCATAGAATCTTTCTCATTTTCTTTATACCATTTGTGAGCGGACGCTTCAACCAAATCTTTTAAATTTACCAAACCCATTTTCGCTGGGTGATTCTAAATAATAAACAATATATAATCAGGTGGACTTCAACTTAATTATGTTACGTCAACATGAAAATTGTTATTTTAAAAAATATTGTAAATAATCTGAGAGAAGTTTTGTAATTTAAAAAGCAATTGAAAATCATGTTCAATGCACAAAATATTCTAAGATTATTGTCGATTATATAAGATGTCAAAAGTGTCTGGTAAAATGACAAAGAAGTATTAAAAACTGTATCGTATGTGATATTATGTATACAACATGTTTTTTTCCTCTTCTGCACAGGTAGACATATGTCTCTTATTTATGCCACTTAATCATATTCTTAACTCAACTCCGACTTGTACACACGAAACTTAGATATAGAATTTCGATTAAAAAAGCCAATGGTTTTATTCTAATTTTATAAGCGAAAGGTGTAGCGTTGCTCATTCAGCACAACAGTGAGGTATATCAGATCGTGATATTCAGTTTGACATACCGATTGTGGTTCTATAATGACCGTATTCATCATTTTTCGATTACTATTACGGTTAAGTAGGATTTGTTTTGCACCCATCTTGAGCAATCAGTAGAGAATACAGGGACTCTGTCGATAATACTCTTAGTCTTTGAACTAAATTACTAACTTTCACATAGTAAAAATGGGAACAACAGATATATTTATCGTATAATCATATCTATTCTGACATTCGAACACAATTAGTGATCTTTTACATCCAATGGCTGGAAAACAAATAATAAAATGAATATAAATAGAATAGAATTCTGTAAATATCACTCATTGCCATCATATATGTACAGTGTCATTATTCACGCAAATTATTTTATTGGTTTTAACGATTCAAGAACGCAAAGTACTTAAGATTCAATGTACGAATCAAATATGAATAACATTTTAATTCAGCGCACGTGTATACCATAGCAAAGACAACAGTTAATCTAGTAAAAGGCTGTAAAATTAGAACTAAATTCATCTTGATCAAAGAAATCTTCTCTATTAGAAAATGAGAATAATTCAAATAGTTCTGACATAATCATCACATGTCAGAATCATAGAACTTAGAATTCTGTTTTAGCTAAAGTAAATTTAATAGCCAAGTATTGTAGATTCGTGAACTATTTATTGTTGTTAGACCAAATGAGTAGATATATTTGTCCAAACTATTTAAAATTTTATATTTACATAAATAACTGTGATACTGTGAATAAACACTAGACTGTAGTAGACAATGAAATGCTTCTATTCATTGAAAGATATACAAAAATAATAGAAAGACAATTAGAATAAAATTGTAGAAAAAGAAAACAATTGTTTCTATATTTCTCCGTTATTTATTTAGAATTATTTTAAGTTTTTTTCTTTAGTTAGAGTCAAATTATTTATCCTATGTTTAGCTGTATCATATATAATATAGACAGGTGAATGTTATCGATTTCTCATATGCTATTAAATGTACGTTTTGTTTACTAATGATCATAATCAGATAATTTTTGTTCGTAAATATGTCATTCTGAAAAATGTTAATCAATAAGCATAGTGTAATTTGGCGGGTAAATGAAAAACTCATTCATAAATCTGTCAACAACAAATATCTAATTTATGATAAAATGGTACTCTATATGTTGCTATTCTTTTTCAATTAACGTACGTTTTATATCAAATTGTGAAAACAAAAATCAGTTAAAAATTCATTCGAATGCACATGCTCATATTTGTTCTTTCATGTCAATACAGATCACTAGTTCTCATATTTATACATATACGTATATTACAAATAATTAATTTTTTCCAGTTGATATATTTCATGAGAAACAGAAAATTCATTCAACTGCCTCGATTATTTTAGTCTATATACTTCTACTGTATGAGCCATATCACTTCTAATCAGTAGTAGTAGAGAACGCCCCCTATTGATTTTAACAGATAGACGACTGATGATGAGATTGAAAATATTTGTTGATTTAACCAGCACAATGTCAATTGATCAATGTTAAATTAATCGTTCATGCATATACAAAAACAAATAGCTGTTGATATAAACGCTCTAGGAGACAGTACAAGAAAACAAAAGTGTAGACCACAATGAGAAAACCTAAATTATATTTGAGTATGTGATAGATGGAACAACAATAACACAAATATCTGTTGAATATGTGTCTAATAAGCATAGATCTCTGTATATGCATAATCAATAATAAGATGAATATCTTCTAATCGAATGGGCGGATAAAATACGAAATCAGTTCAAATTCATCAATGGAAAAGCCTATGAGCAAGCGACAGACAATTGGTCAGATTATATATAGTGTTTCACTCACACACAATTATTATAAACTAATGAGAATGTAACTCTGTTTTAGAAAGTTACCTTAACGATTTTTTTTCAACTTTTTGTGTAATAGAACAATAAGACACGGAAAAGTGTTTATAGAAGATCAACCATCGTTCATATATATGCAGATGATTAATAAATTATAAAGTTCAAGTGTTTTATACTCGAATGAGAAAATAATACACACCGCCTATAGATGAATGCTTTGTGAAAAAAAATACAAGAAGAAACAAAAATAATTCAAACGAACGTTTTAAATAGACAGTGTGTGTGAACACTGTTATTCTTGAATGACTAATGTTTTATATTACAATGATGGTAAAACTGTATCAATCCTACTTGAGAAAAGGCATCAACTTTAGCAAATACTTGACGAAAAATAGAAGTTTTTTTCTGAACATATTGTGGTCAAATTCATCTATCACTGCCATACGTCTATTTACACCAGAAAATTGTAATAATAACATTTTGATAATTTTGATATCTTTTGAACGTGTATGTCTACTACTGCTTCTTTCTCTGATCTTTTAATTATTGGCCAACGATGAAGTATACATAAACATGTCGATGCATCTTAGTTTTTTCATCAGTACCGATTATAGATAAATTCTTATCTCATTTGTTTTCAACACACACACATACACAGTCTATGAATAAAAAAATTTTTGATACACACCATGACAGTCGTTATCGTTCTCTATAAACTAATGTCTGTAAGCATCTTGATACATTCTCTCTCTATCTCTCTTTTTCTCTCCTTTTTTAAAATTTTCTTTCTCTATCTTTATCTTTTACTCTGACACTTACGTTTTTCATCGTGAGTAAATAACGAGAGCGCAGATTTAATTCGAACAGATCTATTTTATTGACAGATCTTCTAGCATTCCACTTTAGATTAACAGAGTAAGTTGGGAGTAATCAACATAAATTTGGCAACACTGTATTTGTAACTAAATTCAACATAAGAACACTAATGACTTAACATTCAAGAGTTGTGATCTCTCCAATTATTATATGTTTTTCAATTCAAAAAAAAAAAATGAACAAACATTGAATCAACAGTAATGATTCTTATCGTTCAAGTAAATCACTCAAGAAAAAGAATCTGTTTATTTTTTCAAGCAGCTGTTGTTGGACAGTTACTGTATAACTTCAAGTAGGAAAATGGTTGTAACATTAGAACAAAAAAAGTAAACAATTTAAAAATGATGCGTTGGATACAATGTTAGATATAAGTGTTTTCACTTCTCGATATATATATATATATATATCCCTAAGGCAAAACGATCTAATCGTTTTCTGCTACAGTGATTATTATCAGTTTATCTAATTAGTTATAAAAAAAAAGCATCAAAATCAACCTGTAGTCAGTCACTTTTACTTTTCAAGAAATTGTAGTGTAAATCACTAACCGTTAACTGATTTAACTATGATCAAATTTCTGCCATATTTTTTTCTTCTAGAATAGTTTTATCATTCAATCAATCAAATTTGACTCATTTCTATTTTAAATCTTCTAGTAGCTAACTGAATATATTTACTTTTGTTTAATTACAAAATAAACGTTATAGCGTGTATACAATATAGTAATGGAAGCCATTTGTTGATTTATAAATTCTATTAACAATCATATACATAGGCAAAAACATTGTCTTTAATTTAAGAACAAATTCGAGGACGATATATAATATACTTGAAAACGATATATCTTATGCGCGTGTCCGCGTGTATCATTGCTCTATCCAAATATTATGATCAAATGAAAAGTGTTATATTATTATTATTATTATTATTAGTTGAACTTTGTATATTTATTTCATCGTCGTAGATCAATACTAATTGTTTTTTGTTAATTTTCAACTATTAGCTTAGTCTCAATAAAAACAGAGTTTAGAAGTAGCAACGATACATCACTAAATTTTTATAGTTGAATAGAGAATATAAAAATTTGCAGAAGTTTTAATGAGAAAGCGTTATTAGCAATCATGAGCTTAAGTATTACAGCAATGTTATAGAGCAAATAGTTTGAATAAATTTACCGATCTGAAAGCAGGTGTCTAAAAGATAACAGAGTATAATTTAGCTAGTGTTACACGAAATAACGTTTAAACTATGTATATAAAAACGTATGAAAAAAACTTCTTTCATGTTGCTCAATTCGAAGCAAGACTTTAGCAAAAACTGTAGAGAGGAATCTGAACGATTTGAAACTTTCAAATTCGATTAGGATAACAAAAAAAAATGTAATTTTGTCCATTACTAATGTATGATTATGTGGTTGATGTTGCATGCATTTCCCAAGAGAAATATACCATTAAAATAAATGTTTTTCTTTTGGATGGATAAGAAAAAAGAAAAAAAAAGTTCCTATTCGAATAGAATATTGATGAGGCTATAGAAGTCTGAATTCCAAAGAAATCTAATAGGTTTTTTCTGCATATATATCGTACTGTTTAGTATGAATAAACTAATGCGCTCTTCTCTGTTTAGTCATGCGTTTGTTTCTCTCTTTCTCTCTTTTTTTCTCTTGTTTATTTTCAAATAATTACATTTTCAAGACACACACGCATACAGAAGCCCAATGTGGTATGGCATACGGTTTAAATATAAAAACTTAAACAGGCTAGAATTGTATCAATTTTACATTATATGCACTAGGTGTTGAATCCCATTTTCATCCTATTCCCGAACTTTAGAAGAACGAAAATTAGATCAAAAATAATAAAATACACACATTCATCTACAACGTACCTCATCTCCTTTGCTGTTATTGAAATGCATTAAATTGTCTATCACGCGCGGCATGACAAATCTAAAATTAAAAGAAACAGAATCTACTGAGTACATATAATTTATTTTTCAGGAAATAGAAACATGTTTTTAAGCTCATTTTACAGCTCATACCCGTTAAAAAGAAAAAATAGAAGAGAAACGAAGCTAATGATCAAATATGAACCAAAAAAAGAAGAAAAAAAAAAAAAGTCAAATTCTCTTTATTCACAATATATCTTCTCTCTTCGTTCAATTATTCCTTATTAATACTGAACACGTACATCTATTGATTATCACAGAACTAAGAAAAAAATGTACAATTGAACATTCGAAACAAGAAATACAGAATCATGCCGCACATGCTTTGATTATAGTGAAATCATGATCACATTCATTTTATACT